ATTGGTACAGGTGATTAGTGCTAGCAAAACATTAGTAAAATGATTTTTTTTTAAATACTTTGCTTTCACTGCATAAATATATAGATGTTTTACTTCTTTAAAATCACTAAATTTTTGCTTTTCATGTTGAATGTTATTGGTACAGGTGATTAGTGCTAGCAAACATTAGTAAAATGATTTTTTTTTAAATACTTTGCTTTCACTGCATAAATATATAGATGTTTTACTTCTTTAAAATCACTAAATTTTAATATTTTTGTGAATCAATCATGATGTGAGCTTATTTGGAACACAAGTGGGCTTAAATGGTGCCGAAGTACTAATTAAGCCCATGCCTGACTTTATTCATAAAATATTTTAATTTTATATTCTAAAATGTACATCAACTTATTAATACATTTTCAAATGAGAGATAAATCTTACATTTTAACAAATTATTTTTCTTATAAACAATGTCAATATATATGAAAAACACCTAAACTTAGATTTTGGTGAGCTTAATGGGTACACTTACCCTATTTTTTTTTAGACATTATTATTATTATTATTATTTTATTCAAATATTGTCTAATTGTGCCTTATTTACTATCAAACTTTTTCAAACTTGCTGCACGATTAATCGTATTTTAATCTCGATAACGATATCCACCTTTCTCGATGAATTAAAAATAATCTTCACGATATTGGCCGGCTCGCTATTTATACTGAAAACGTGTTTTTAATTTGTCATTTGCATTATCTTGCATTGCTAACAAGTCTTCACTAGCGTTCATGCTTGTGGTTGCCAGATGTGAAGAGATTAAGTCCCCAAAACAGAGTTTTTCTCCTTTAAGGATACACTTTCTTCCCGGTGTTTTACTTAATCTGCGCAATCTGGCAACCCTGTGCGCGCGCTGACTGATGGCGGGACAAGCGCTGATGATAAGAAAATGCGCTTTTGCTACCTGTGGCAATACAATGGGAAAAATTTACATAAATTGGAATTATTTTAAGTTATATGAGGAGTTTCTAAAGTTTTTACCAGTTTTCATAATGTTTAATCAGTTGAAAACGGCATGGCAATTTTATTATCAGTGTGTATTAATGATCTTTGAGCAAATTTACTGCGCGATCTGAGTGGCTTGTCTTATTTGCGAAGAAGTTGTCACTTAGAAAATCTAATGTGAATACAGATTACAAAACACTAACCAAAACCATGAGTTTTGTATTATCATAGTTGTTTAAATGAAGTCGGTGTCATTGGAGGTTGGTTAAAGGACACGAAATGTTATTGCATTTATCCTTTTGATAGAAAAATCGTTATTAATAATCGTGATGATAATTTTTATCAAAATAATCGTGATTATCAGTTTAACCATTATCGTGCAGCCCTACTTGATTACACTACCCTCTTAAATCATATTTCTATCACTGACAAAACATATTTTGTATTACATTAAAATAAAGACAAATGTAATCAACCCCAACTTTGCCTTAAAATGCATCGCAAGATCTCCTAACCGAAGATCACATGATCACAAATGGAAATCACTTCCGTAAAGTGACCATCGCATGTTCCCATCGCTAACGGACGTCTGGAAGGGCCACTTATTAACATTAAGTGGCATGGCATCTGACGTACGGATGTCATTGGTACATACCACTATGCTCAGTGGCACATCCGGTGACACTTCTGGTTTTCACTGACATGTGTCAGTGGAGAGTGGCATGTGCCACTGACACTTGTGACATGTGTCGATGGATTGTGTCAGTGTCACTGACATTGCCGCGGAACATGTCACCGTATGTTGCGACAGTGACACTGCTGCTGTCAGCCGGAGTATAACGTAGACCAGGGCTATTCAGTTAGTTTCATTTGAGGGCCGGATTATCTAATTGAAAGGGACCAAGGGGGTGGGTGGCCGTCCCGATCTCTTTCTGAGGGGCCTATAAAATTAGAAATTAAATTTAAATGCATATTCAGCAGTAAAATGAACTAATATTATCAACACCAACATCTATAAAAAGTTAACATTAGTGCTGTCTGTGAATCGATTTAAATTTAAAAAAAAACTAATTATTCACACATTTGTCTGTAATTAATTGTGATTAACTGCATATTAATGTTTTTTTTACAGCACTTCAAGTTAAGCCATTCTTAGAAAAGAAAAAGAGTCAAATATTTTTTTCTATAGGTCTATCATAATGCGTGCGGTATGGCATCTTTTTACTGAGTAACCTATTATTAACAATGGCCAGTATTTTTGATAACAATGCAATACTGCTACTGATGTATCTATTAAATGCATTTTCCCCTTAATTTTAGCCATTAATTATAGCGATTCAACGTTACAGTATAATTGAAAGCCATTATTTTGAACATTTAGTAGGTTCTGAAAAATATAATTTTTAACTTTTAATTTAAGTGGACTTAAAACAATCTTCACATAAACCATAAATTGTATATGCATAAACTATATAGATTAATCTTTATTCAAGCTACAAAACTTAATCAGCGACTAGCGCAGTCGAGTGATTTCTTTTTCTTTTGTTCTGTGATTTACATCAATGACAGACTTTAAAAGCAGCGCTGTCACTTTAAAACCTGATACACATGACGCGTAACTGACACACATCCGATTTTCTCCCTACTCTTTACGGTCATTTAGGACTTTATAACTCATTTAAGACCGTGTTTAACCCAGCATTTTGACAATTGTTTGTGTTTTTGTGTTGAAGCGCTACTGGCACGCTGTCTGAAGTGGCTCAGAATACAGCCGAACGCGCAGTCTTTCAGACTATACTCCATTTGATAATCATCTTCGTCCAGTGTCTGCGCTATTTCTCGACAGAAGTTATGACCGACAACACTGCCTTTATACTCCTTTAAACTAAAGTTGTGGATATGTCATAACCTCCTCACACAAAGCGCTTGTCAGTGCTGCCATTTATTGATGTTGCGGTCTCCGGTTATAGTTGTTGCGTCTCTCATCCCTTTCTTTTGCAGCTGTGAAACAACGGCCCGGGCCAGTGTTGCCACCTTGTGGACAAACTTATTAGTGCAAAATAATGTGCGACCTGCGCGTACTCTTCCGCCAATTGAATAGCCCTGACATAGACTGTGTAACACACTTAATGGTAGAACGATATTTAATTGATGATACGTTTCGGTTTCTGTCAAGCGTATTAATTACATCCCGGAGTTAATTTATATAACAACTTAGGCGTCTTCATGCGTTTAATATTTGCCTCGTGTCCCTTTGTTTGCCTGAATGTTTTGTCAAATACTTAAAACAATTGTACCTTGCTATAAAATGGTTTTATTTAAAAAAAAAAGTTTTTTTAAATATTAAAGCCATAGAATGAGAGAGATTGCGCTGGCCAATGTATTGATGATGCTGCATGCACGCAATATGTGTCAGTACCAAACACATACAGTGACATGTTCCACGACAATGTCAGTGACACTGACACAATCCATCGGCACATGTCACAAGTGTCAGTGGCACATGCCACTCTCACTGACACATGTCAGTGAAAACCAGAAGTTTCACCGGATGTGCCACTGAGCATAGTGGTATGTGCCAATGACATCCGTACATCAGATGCCATTCATTACACCAAATACACAAAATAATGTTCTTTTTAGCAGCATCATATGACCCCTTTAATGTTAATACTGCCTCTCCAGTAGCCCTCCGTGAAGGAATTCAGTTGTTCACTTTCGTTAGGAACGTCCCTACAAATGGCGGCCCCTTCCCGAAGTGCCCTTCAAGGGTCCAAAAAAGCCGTTTGATATGCGCCCTATGGTTTGATTCATGTTCTGAATCCGAATCGAAACAAAGCATGCGTAAAAGCCTCGAAGCTTCGCGAATCGATCTCGAGCGCTCCCATCATTAAAAGCGGTTAACTGACTTCACTCAATTCAGGACATTCAGAATTAGATGTTTAAAGAAAAAAAACAAAAACACACACACACACACACGAGTACCTCAAAAAGATGTTTTGGTTTGTTTTATTGTAAATACGACAAAAAGGAAACCATTTTATTTTACAGTTATTGATCTATATATTGGCATGAATTTTAAACATTTTAAGAGACACCTGTGAGATTCTGGCTTATTCAAGTTGCAGCAAATGCATGAAACAGCAGGTGGGGACTGAATTTAAAAATTACTGAATCTGAATCTAAATAAATCATCGATTATTTACTTCCTGCCAACAACTGTTCCTCTCCTCTCCACAAATGATGCAGACATATAAAATAAATTAAATTAAAACAATATGCAATCATCATGATCAGATATACACCTTGCAAAATAAAGGAACAAAAGATAGTTAGCAAATGTACAAATCAAATATACAGGACTGACCACTCACCTACACAGACACAGACCTGCACGTTATGTGTGCGCCGCTGTCTCATGTATAATTCACATCCAATGGCCAAAAAAAAAAAAAAAGGCAGAGCAACAAATTATTTGCATAATTTATTCATACTTTCATTTCTGAACTCAGTCTTAGCGTCCAGCTGACTAGTAATTACACCTCTGTAGTAAAACGACGATATTTCAGTATCAGTGTTGTTGATTGAAAAATATCATTCTCACTCTTTTCGCTCACACTTTTTAAAGAGGGGGATGGAAAAAAAAATGTCTCAGTATTCGTGTATGCGGATTTCAAACATCTCCACGTAATAAACCGCGTTTCTGCAGTCACTCTCGGCTACAAGGATATTGCTTACTGTGGCTGTGGTTGTACAATGTAATCATCACATATGATTATAATATTATTTAAATACAACAAACATCAATGCACAAATTATACAATGGAGAATGGGCCTAAAATATAGTAGGAGACCAAAGAAAAAAAATTCCTTATACGCTGAAAAATTATGGGATGTTAACGGTGCAATGTGTCTCATACAAAAACTTCAAATATTTTTTTTCATAAATAATGAAATGTGTGAGTGAGGGAGGGTTTCTTTTTCTTTTTTTGTTGCTTTTTTCTCCTCCTTTTTTATGGCCCGCTTTCATGCCTAGCTTTCCTAACCATCACAATATTTACATATATGACAAAACAATTACCAAATATACAAAGAGGAAAGAGAAGCTTGATTCCTGTCTGACCATTTCACTTCCTCCCTGTGAATCGGCAGGCCTTCATCTATAATCATCTAAATCATCATCATTTATTTGGAACTACACAATATCTTACAGCAAGTCATTAATAAATTAAAAGGATTATGGGATTTTCCGTAATTGAGAGCGAGTGGGAAGTATGATTTTTATCCCCTTGTAGTGAAGAACTGCGCCGTTGGAGTTTGTATTTACAAAGACAAAGTTCACCGCTGCATCTTAATCCCACCCCAGACCCCTTCCTTCCCTCCCTCCCTCAACCCTCCCAAAAAAATCTGTTTTGTTAGTGGTTTATCTCTAAGCCTCTTCTGCTGGGAACTGCAGTACAGTCCATCCAGTCCTGCTGTCCTCCTGGCTTCGATCTTGTACGATGATCTTCGCAGACAAAAGGACATTAGGCAACTCATCATAGTATGTGGGGAGTGAAGGACAACCCTAAGGTCTAAGTAACATTGGCGATATGTCTTGTGATTTCTTCCGGGTTTAACTCCACCCTGAACTTAGAGGGACACCATCATCTGTCAAGCAGGAAATGAACTCCCACTTTTCTCACTGCCTCAACTGCGGGCCCTAAACAAGGTCCCTCTCTCTCCTCCTGTCTCAGTATCGGTTCTGATGTTCGTAGTGCCATCGATTGAAATCAATGTTAAACGCCACAATGCTGCCCGATGCCATCCCAGTGATCAAAGTCCTGCAAATATATAGAAAAAAATAATAAATTCACATGGAAAATGTCCATAATATTATATAATTGTTTTTATAATTAAACACACTAAATTGTTCATTTTGACTGCACTTATGCCTCTATATAAACTTGTGTTTTTACATGGCTTATTATTGTATATGACTAGTAATATGACTGTGTATATATATATATGTTTTCTGTGTATACAAAATAATTATTTGTTTTTACATGCCATAGTACTATATATGTATATATATATATATATATATATATATATATATATCACACACACAATAATATATTTGTTTTTACTTGACTTACTAGTAATCACATGTAGTAATGTACATGATATATTATAGATAATATATTTTATATTACAGTGTAATTATATGAGACAATTTTCTTTCAGTTTAATATCAATATAAGTGAAATAAATATGAAAATATGTATGTGATATCTTACTACTGTTAAAAAGTTTGGGCTCAGTAAGTTTTTTTTTTTTTTTTTTAAATGTAATACTTTAATTCATCAATGACACATCGAGTTGATCAGTGTTAAAGATATACAGTATATACCAATCACGGTCGAACATAATCAGTCATATCCAATCATATCACGATGGAGGCATTGCCTTCTCTCACGTGACTTTCCCCCATTCATTCTCAATTCTCAATTACCCCCCACCAAACTCACTGCAGGCTTTAGGGGGTCTCTTAAAACTCAATGGGCTCAGGGGAGGCGAGAGAGACGTGGAAAAATGAGTGATTTAAAGACTTTTTAATGTTATATTTTGTAATACTGGTGCTGTTTTATTTTTGTACAAATTTTTTTCTCATCCAATTTTTTTTAAAGAGACACTGCCTCCCTTGCCCCCTCGGAGGAAACGCCTCTGATATATATATATGTATAACATAACATCATAAACTATTATTTTTTATTTAATAAAACCACTTTATTGTATTATTATTTTTAGGTTTTTAGCTCAGGTGTGCTCACCTCTGGTCATGGGATAAGTCCATAGCCCTAATGCCTGCATCACAGCCGGGGTAAATATACAGCTGCTTAAAATCACAGGCCTGCCAGACTTCAACAACACCGTTATCACCTCCTGTTACCAAGTTCTGACCGTCGCTGCTCAACAGTATGGCCTGGGGGAAAACAAAATAAGATTAAATATAGATACTGTTTTGGGTTAATGTGTATTTCTGATCTAATATATGTCTCCTCTTACACGTGTGGAGTCATTGAACTCCATCTGTGTCAGGAGTTTTCCATTAATGCTGAAGTTACAGAAGTGTCCTCTCTCATAGTAGATGATACAGTGACCCTCACTGGACACAGAGATCAGACGGGGCTGGAGACAGTTCTCAGGGCCCTCCAGGGCCCGCAGTAAATCTCCTGTGATGGTGTGCACCAAACATGGCCCCTCTGTAGAACAAGACAACAGCAAGAACCTCTCAATTCTGTCATTAAACAGCAATAATTTAAAATGGAGAAATAAGGAAATAATAATAATCACTATTTTTTTAAATGTACATCTTTAAGACATATTTAATTCCTTACCTGTAATGGGTTTATATTTGAGTTCTATAAGCTCTCATGGAAACCAATACTAGTATGAAAAGAGTTAATTTCTGATATGCTAATATTTAGATTGCTTCCTCTCAGACTGACCTTTGGCCCCACTGATGACAAGTCCCAGTTCAGCACATACTGACACACACACCACCTCATGGTCATGGCCTGTCAGAACCGCTCTAGGTGCTGGATAATCACCTACAATACAACAGAAGTTCAGCTTCTGGAATCCTACAAATCTCATCAGTCATTTTTTTTGCTACATATAACTAATACTCATTACCACACAAAAATAAACATGAAAAAGAAAATATGTTAGGAATGAGATGAAGTTAGGTAAGCAGGCAATAAAAAAAAGGAATGAATTTAATATATTCACAAAGAATTTCAGAGACCATTTTTCTTTCAGTGTAATATCAATATAAATAAAATAAATGTCTTACGTATGTGATATCTTTCACACTACTGTTCAAAAGTTTGGGGTCAGTAAGATTTTTTTTTTTTTTAAGAAAATAATACTTCTATTCAGCAAGGATGCAATGAATTGATCTGAGTGATAGCAAAAAGATGCTGTTTTTTTTTTACTTTCTATTGCACTAAGAACCTTGAAAAAAATATCACAGTTTTCACAAAGAATATTTAGTACAACTAAATATTGAGCATGGCGTTATGTAAATGAAAGCAATGCTCAAATGAACCGGATCATGTGCTCACTGTTGTTGGGATTGTCTCCAATGATGTGGTGTCGTCCGCTCCAGTACCACAGCAGAAGGGTTGCATCTCGTGAGCCAGAGACAATGTAGCAATCACCTCCAATGTAGGACTCAGATCGCGCAAGACAGGTCACCACATCCCAGTGACCAAACACGATCTGAGTGAGTTTCCCTGAATGAAGAGTGAGCAGATGAGCGCATGTGCATTTTAGAAACATACACTTCACATTTTATTTGTAGTAAAGAGTACACGTTTTATATGTTCAAGTTGGCATATAAATGGCATAAAATCACAAAAGACAAGCACCTGTCTCAGTGGAGTAAACACGGAAACTCTTGTCCCAGAAACCACATGCCAGGATGTAGCGGTTGTCAGCTGTCACCACAAAGCAGTGCGTGTTGATCTGAATGCTTTGATCCACCAAATCTGTGATCTGCCTTTTACTAATGCCAGAGTTATTGGCTGGGAAAGAAAACAGACCAGGTGTGAATATTGAAAAAAAATATCCAATTTGAGTCTGAAGACACAAACAAGTTTCATCGGTCTTTTAAAAGGATAATCCACACAAAAAAGAAAATTCTCTCATAATTTACTTCGGACATAAATGGTAGTAAATCATGACAGAATTTACATTTTTGGGTGAACTATCCCTTTAACTGTTACTGGCTAAACACATGGTCACATGATTTGAAGAACTCACCAATCAGAGAGTCCATCTCAATTGGAAGGTGATGAGACTGTTCTAATGAATATCCTGGAGCACCTCTGAGACCTAAACAAAACATTGCTAATATTGTAAATAAACTTGCACCAAACATTAAAAAAAGTGGTTTGAAAACCTCCGATTTCTTCAACTGTTATGTCTAAGAAAGTTGCAAATGGTCGTGCTCACCGACTGTGTTGTGCCAGCGGTTGACGGCGAACAGTCGGCTGCATGTGACCGTGACTGCAGCAGGAATGCTGAGGTGAGGCAGTGTGTTGGCCGCCACGTGCGTGACCGGAGAGTTGGAGGGGAATTTTAGCACCATGATTACATCTTGCTGCATCTGGTCCTTGAACATCAGAGGACTCTGCGGAAGGAAACACTAATGAGCAGAAGAGAGAAAGAGGAGGAAGAGGAAAAAAGGGAGGTAAAAGGAGAAAGGAAGGGACAAGGAATTAGAAAGGTAAATTACAATGGAGCAAACAAGGTGAAAATCACAGGGGCAGGATTCTGGGTAAGGATATAGTTTAGGAGCAGTTTTGGGTTGGTTTGGACTGTCAGGAGAGGGGGGAGGTTGGATGATGTGTGTAACATCCAACCCTAGACAGCCTTGCTAGGTGAAAATCAGTGTCCGAACCAGACGTGATGTCATAAATCACATCTATTACATGTAAATCAAAAATGTATGTACTACCCGGTCTGTCATTTTGTGGCACCATTTTGCATTTATGAGGACAGACAAATTACGAAATTTGGTCTATCGCAACTAGTGAGGACAAAGTGTAACACTGAGCTACATAAAATGAATGTAATAAAGACAAATTGTGATAAAAGATGTAATAAATCAAATAACAAAGGACAATACTGATCTATTTAAAAGAGATCTAATATAGATAACTGATAAAAAAAAGTAATATAGACCACAATAAAAAGAGGTGTCTTAAAAAAAAAAAAGACACTATAAAAGAGATATAATAAGTCTCACCAGGTGCATGGCAGAGCTGCGTGGAGGGTGAGGCTCTATTAGCAGCTGTGATGGAGCCTGTCCAAATGACTGAATCTGAGCCTCCATGGACTAAAGAGACAAAACAAGCTGTTACATCTTTAGTTGACAGACCCCTGAGCTGCCTCACATCTGACAGACATTTACAGACATGGAAAGACAAGCGGAACACTGCTGTCAACATGCTGTGCTTAGAAATGAAATATCAACAAATTCACTCATTTTGGACAGAGGACAGAAAGATATTGACAAGAGACATTAAAGACTAATGATTAAGACGATTAAGATAAAAAGTTTTTTTTACCAGTATATTATTGGTTCTATTATTAAGTCTACTGATAAATAACAACAGCACTGCACTGTTGCGTGTTAAACAGGAAACAATAGTGTTTACAGGAAAATGTATTCATATCAAATGTATATATTTGAATAATGTTATTACAATAATATCATACTTTAATTTAATTTGTGTAAGTTGTTTTTAATTGTTTAATAAATTATTTTAATTGTTTAATAAATTATTAGACCTTTTGAAATGTTAAAAAACAAGATTAACTATTAAAGGGATAGTTCACCTTAAGTTGCTGGTCCTCATTGACTTGCATAGTGTTTTCATACTATGGAAGTAAATGGGGACCAGCAACTGAAGGTGAACTATCCCTTTTAAGACATTAAGTATTTTGTCAATAATACTTAATGACAATAATAATTTATCTTAATTATTGACATTAAGCATTTTAATATTATTAAATAAAATGCTTCACATTAAGATTATTTATTATTAATTAATTAGTTTAAGATTATTATTGACATTAAGCATTTTGAGATTATTACTACAGTATTGAATATGTAATAATCAATGTTATTAACTTTGAATATGTTTTTTGTTGTCTTAATTATTTAGTTTTGCTAAAATAAAATAAAAATCAGTTCTGCATTTCATTCTGCATATTTTATTGAGACATGTAAAGATGTCAATAAAAAAATAAATATGAATTGAAAAAATCAGTATCATAAAAAACAATATTGGACAATGTCTAATAGAAACCCATCGAAAACACAGCTTAACATGATTCACACAAGTAGGACAAGTTCCTAGATCAATATCCTCAATATGAATCAATACTCACTAACCTCTCTGCTGAGGGGTCTTACCTCTCTGAGCTGGGGGTCGGTGATGGTGTCCAAGCTCACAGATCCCTCGTAAGACAGGTAATGGAAAACATTGAGAGCCCTAATGGCCTCCGGTCCTCTCTGCTTGTAGCCAAAGATGAGATCAATCCACTGGTGCAACTGACAGGACACAAATTCACTCTCCAGCGCCTGAGACAGGAAGAGAACAACAGGGTTAATACAAGAGCCAATCAGGGCTTCTAAAAGAAATTAATAGCCATGTAAAGGCTGTGTGAGTTTCAAAGTTTATTATTATCTCTACAAACTAAAGCTGCTCCATTCAATCAGGGCTTCTAAAAGAAATTAATAGCCATGTAAAGGCTGTGTGAGTTTCAAAGTTTATTTATTTTCTCTACAAACTAAAGCTGCTCCATCCAGGGAACTGGCCTGGTGTTGTTTTGATTCTTGACACACTGGCTGAATTAAACTATTAATCCTAATGGCACCTCAAACTGTGCAATAATGTGGAGCGAATAAAGGTGCTTAGACGCACACATAATTTTTCCATCCCTTACCATCCTGTTGATGCGAACAAAGTCCTCTGGTTTTTTGGCCCAGACTGGTAGTTCCACGTCACACACGGCTGTCCTGTCCTCTCTCACCCCCAGGTCATATCCGCTGCTGTTCATAAACATCTCAGGGAGGTAGTAGAACTCCGGGATCAACTCCTGTCATACAAACAAACATGTTGACGTCACAGCACAGAAATAAGATCAGTCACAGCATTGTTTTACCTCACAAGATTTTGCTCACCCTAACATCAGATGTGTCCCTCTGGCAACTTCGCCAAGAGCGTGCAATGCCAGAAAACGTCCGGTCGGGATGGTCAAACTTGTTGTTATTACAATTCAAGAAAAACGTGGTGAAGGGTTCCTGTGGGATTGAGGAAGTGGCACACAATGTCAGATTAAACAACTTTCATAAGCTTTTCTTAAAAAGAGAATTAAGATTTTCAGGTTCTGAGAGACAATAGAATATAAATGGACTACAGTGAAGACTCACTATCCTGACAAGCCAGAAAAGAGTGGATGCTGCAGTGGAGTACAGTGATGCGTAATGATGGGGTGGAGTTCCGTCATCCTCCCATGTCTCATAGCGCTCGGTATAGAACACGGCTCGCTTTGGATTCAGGGCTCCGATTGGCTATATTACAAACAGGAAGAAGAAAAAAAGAATTCTAGTTATTATACTAACCAAATGACTAATTACATTTTTAAACTATAACTGACTTTTGATTCAGAGCTCTGAAAGCTGAGTATTATTATTATATTTAAATTATTACTTATATTCAGAAAGTATGCTTTAATTTGATTAAAAGTAACAGTAAAGTCATATATATGTATAAAAAAAAAAATTAAAAAAAAGATTTCAAATAAATGCTGTTGTTTTGAATTCCTCAAAATTAATTTCTTTTCTAAAAAATGTATCACAGTTTCCACAAAAATACAAAGCAGCACAACTGTTTGTTTTTTTATCATTGATGATAAATGTTTCTTGAGCAACAAATCAGCGTATTAGAATGATTTTTGAAGAATCATGTGACACTGAAGACTGGAGTAATGGACTGAATTACATTTTAAAATATATTAAAATAGAAAATGCAGCCTTGGTAAGCATAAGAGACTTTTCAAAAACAAACAAACAAAAAAAAAACTTTCCATAACCAAACTGTTGAACAGTAGTCTATATGTATTTATATTACATACAGTATGATTACATTACATTTGCATTTAAATTACAAAAACAAACAGTGGGGTTTGAAAAAAAAAAATCTGAGACCACTTTGGAAATTTGAGATTTGAAAACTGGTATTTGTAAAAACTTTGAAACAATTCCTATTAAATTCCGGATGATTTGTATAGCTCTAACTGAGCTATGGAAAAAGACTTTCAGGAGTGGCATACCTTTGAAAGATCCCGGAAATTCCCAGGCAAGGTAAGATCCAGGTCCTCTGACTCATAGTTAGTCAGGACCCAAGGGAAGACAGGATATTGGTTCAGATCATTATAGGTCCTCCCTGCAAACAAATATCAACAGACAATGTTGTGTGTGAGCATGTAACTTACATACCGCATATCACAATTTGATTAGTGATAAAACTATTAGTTGCAAAAGTAGGAAACTTATTTTTGCAGAAAAGAAAACGGTGCACAATCTTACCTGCAATCGTGTTGAGGAACATGAGGTACTCAAAATTTGAAATCTCCCTCCGCTGCCATCTCTGAGTCATATTAGACGACTTAAAGAGCTGCCTTGGTGTTGCCAGAGATATCCGTCTATGGGAGGAACAGCAAAATAACAAGACAATCAATTAGCGTTGGCTAAAAACAAATTTAGTATTAATTAACAGTTTAATGTTTAGTCATATAACAACCACTCCTAAACTGATCTCATATGACTGAACCAGTTTCAATATTAGAAAGCCAACACCAAAGACCTTACCTTGCCTGAGGGAGGCCATAGCTGGTGCCAACACCGACCCGGGGTAAACTGTTCACTACCTTCTTTACTGTGGCCTGATCCGGGAAGTTGAACATGACGGATGCTGTGGAGATGATAGTAAAATAGTGCCATTAAAAACCTTGAATTAAACAACATTTTGACATTGTTGTTTGGAGTGTTGGCATCTTACTCCTGTTGGCCATGAAGACCTCTAGTCCAGTGTTTTGGAGCAGGTAGCGTCTGGAAAAAACTGCTCTGATCTCACTGAACATCCATTTCCCATGCAGACCCTCAGTATACGCCAACACCTGACAAACACAAAAGCAAAGCATTTAAATACAATCTAAAGGAAGACAGCATTTTGAACTCTGGGACAATAGCATTGCCAACGCATGATCCTGAAATTCTGACTGGATGATATTCACGTCAACTGATAACACTTTCAGTAATTCTGTGTGAAATAAAAGATGTAAAAAAAAAACAAGGCTAAAACTCATAGGGTGACACTATCAGTGGCACATACAGTACCTTTGAATCAATCTTTTTGAAAGCTGGATCATCTTCGTCCACCTCGAAATAGATCTCTGTTGTGGTGATTGACAATGTTCCTCTAGCAACGATCACAGGAGCAACGAGCTGGGCCGGTGTGCTCAAAACCACCGGACCTGAAAGAAACCATGTCACAGAATGAGAAACGTGACATTTAAAAGTCCTGAGTCCTGGATTAGTGAACAAATCAAGTGATTGTGGTTAGATTTTCCAATAACTTGGGATTTCAAGACCAGTACTGGAGAATTAAATAATCTTTTTGAAAATGTAACATTTAATACATCTAAAATCTACATCGTCTGGTCCTAAAAAGCATCTTTCACCATTACCAATCCTTAAAAATGATCATTTCTAGTGGTGCCATTAGCTGATTGCTGTTATCAGGATGATACTTTGCCAAGGCTCAGTGATTTGTCACATAGCATTTATAGCTCAGGTTTTTGAAAAGCATGAACAAATGATCAAAGGCATCAGATTTCAAACCACATTGAGATGAACAGACATAGACCTCTTTCATATTTTTGAAAAAAAACAACAAGCTAATTAGTTTAATTAAATAATGATTAAATAGCCACAATGTGTTAAATACAGTCAGCGACTCATTAAGTTAATGAATAAGTGGCTAATTTGATAAGTGTTAGTTAGTTCAATATCAAAATGAGATGTAGCACTTAAGCTCATAATCACACTCTTGTGCAGATTCAGTTGAGATTTGCATCAAAAGGGCTGGAGCTTGTTCTTGGCTAAAACACTAATTAGCAAACTCGTTTTCTGAAGGACCAAACTTGCCTCTTGAGATAAATACCCTTGGACGAAAAGCCACTGGGGATAAAGTACAGTTGCATACATTAGCACATGCATCAACAATAAATCAAAGAATCACCACACGAATGATTTCTACATGAGCAGCTAGAGTGGCACTCTTGGTGCAGGCTGGCATTTAAGACTAATTTGTTTAATAGTGCCATGGCAGTCTTACAATGGGATCTGAGGAGGCTGCTCATGAATAATAGCCTCCTGAGTGCAGCAGAGATTCTGAATACCTGCAAGGTTGTCGATCTCTTTCTCCTGCAGCAGACTGACGGCATCATCATCTCCTTCCAGCATCTACAATAATTACTCTATAAACAGTCCATGCAAAAAAAATAAAAAAAAATAAATAAATACTATTTTTATTTATTTATTTTTTCCCGATAAAATTAATGTTGTGTATTTGCATATGAATTATGTATGGACACACATCACTTTAAATATAATATGTCTCTGAGACATATTTGGGCACTGTAAATTAGACTGAGGTGGTATGGATGTGTTGTGGCTGACCGTATTCTTCTAGAGATTTGAGAGCCACATCCGAGTGGGTGGAGCCAAAGGCATTGCGTACAAATCTCCGCCTCCTGCGCAAGTCATCCTCCCAGTAGTCCAAACGCCAATAATCATGCAGCTGACTGAGGTGGGAAAGAGAGAGAGAATGAAGAGGTGATGAATGGCCAGGAAACTAGAAACAGAATTCCAGTAGCAAAGGTTGACAATAAACTGTGAGATTGTGAACCTCTGTGACATGGTTCCCCATGCTCCATGCTTATTGGTCAAAATGTTAAGGATCTTCTGTTTCAGCTGGTTTGCAGTCACATGATCTCTGTGTTTGGCGGCACTGATGAGGTGATCACACATCTTTTCCTCTTCTCTCCTGTCTGCAGTGTACTGGGCACAGTTCGACTGAAAAGAAAGCAAAGGTTGGATGCGATTAATCAGTTGACGGCCCTATAATAAAAACAATGTTTGTGTCTTTTTTCAGTGTGGATGATTTAGGCGCCTGATGTGGTTGCTGAAGAGATGCACTGATGATCTTTCCTGATTGGCTCTTTGCCATATAAGCGAGAGTGACTATCGAGAAAGAGAGGCAGAATGCACTTAGCATCCACTGCAGATGCTTCTAGAAGGACACATCACAGGCAGCTCCCATTACCTTCTGCTTCCTGCCAATCAATATTTAGGGTACGGTTTCGTCCCCTGAGCCACTAATGGAGGGCCTGGAGCTTCAGTAATACTATATGTGCTGATGGAGCAATGACGGGAAATAGAGGAAGGAGGGGAGAGGAGGATGAGAGGGCATCAAACACAGGATGGGCCACTGCTACACCCCAAAGCTCCTAATCTTCACTCCAACTCTGAAGGCAGAGGAAGCCTGCTGAGATGTTGATCATTCAGAAGAGTTCAAAGAGGTTTAGTGGGGTTCCTAGTATAAGATACTGACACCCAGATGTGACTGTATGATAATTCTGCTTTGAAATGTTTGATTAGTGGTGAGAAAAGTACATTTCTCCTCATGTGGATTGATGGCAAAGCATATTACGGAGCACAGTGATAGATTGTCTTAAAGGTAAGCAAGAATTCTTCACCTTTAAACACTAAATGATTTCAGACACTGTTGATTAATCATTCTACAAAAAGACTGAAAAACAACAGGAATACTTTCTGAATGTGATGTTTAGAGGCGTTACTGGAAGCTAAAGCAGCATTACTGTAGCTCAAACAGTTGAGCGTGGTGCTACCAAAGGTCTTGGGTTCGATTCCCATGGAATGCATGAACTGATAAAATGTGAATGTATTTTGGTTTGGATAAAAGTGCCCGCCATATGCGTGAATATAAATGTAAGCTAAAGTGTCTAGTTCAGAAGTATGCAGTGATACTTTGATACCCACACTGGCTTTAGCGTAAAGTAGGGTGGGTCTGAAATCGGATCCTGTTAAGGTCAAGCACAAAGAGGCTCAAAAGATTGATAAAATGTTGCCACATTGCAGCACTGTGACCTTTTCCAAGATTTTAAGCTGTTTAAAGGCAGTTTCAATGCAGTTTATATGGGGTTTATGAAGCCTGAAATGTAAGTTGTGCGCTGATAGAAAATACTGAAACTTGGTGAATGACAAAATGAAGTCAAAATGAATTATTCAAAATAAATTATAAGAGAATAAAGTGAGAAATCTCACCTGTGAGCACAAGAGCATCACAAGCTCCACAACCGATGTGCTGGACTTCATACAAACTAAGCCTGTTGCAGTGCATTGACAGAAAACAGATTTTAGCATGCGCATGTCTAAGAAATGAAAAGAAATCTCAGTGGGTTCCAAAACACTGACAACACAAGTGAAAATGTTCAGATTCAGAAGCTTAAATATCGACTTTCCTTGGTTTTAATTTGTCTAAGTTTAGTGTATTTCCAAGTTTATATTGCATTTGAAATCCCATATATTCAGTGTAGACTTTTGGACCCCACTGTACATGTGTGTAACATAAAATTACCTAACGTAACTGGCTCAAAGCTTTAAAGTGATAAATCTGATCTATTTTCTAATGTACACACAGTTCTGCTTTAATTAAACAACAAAAACAGACAAACATTAAACTGTGCGGAGGTCAAGACAAGGTGAGAGCACAGACATTAAAGCCTGACAGGACAACAGGGAGGGGAGGGAGAGGATTCAATAAAGAGGGTGGAGAAGAGAGGAAGACAAAAGACAGTGGTGGAACAAGAAGCAAAAGTGATTCACTCTAGATCTGGATCTTCAGATTTAGGTTTCCTTTGATTTCAGATAAAATTAAGAGAGGAGGTCCTCTCAGGACTCAACAATAAAGATGGCCTGAGAGGCCGGGCCCAGTGTGAGCAAGTTTTGGGCCAGTTGATGGAACTGTCACTTGCCATACCAACTATTATTGCAAATTAAAAACAAATGTGTTTATTTGTTTTATAGGTTTTTTTTCTTTCTGGTAAAGAAAACATTTTGTAAAATATATTTTGTCTGATACAAAAATGTACACAAATTTAAACACAAAAGGCCAGCGAAAATATTAATTCTGAAAAATAAATAGAAAATGCACACCACTGCACTATTACATTTAAGTTATTTATGTATATTTTAATCCAAAAATGAATTTGTCTGTGTTGTGAGGCCAATGAAAATATTAGCTAGGCATATATATATGACTAGGCCAAAAGGGAAAAAAATCCTAATTGTTGAGCAGGTTTTTTTTTTTTTTTGGGCATCCATTGGAATACCTTAAATCACTTCCTTAATGTTTAGCATGCAATTCTTTCTTCAGTTCCTTCAGGTGCAGTAAATCTACATTTTTTAAACATCCTTTCATCCTAAGCAGTTCTGTTATTCTCATACCTGCTCTGGGTCCATGTACTCGCACAATTGTGTGTATGAGGCAGCCAGTGGACACACACACAGCAGACAGTGAGGGACTCCACAGAGACACCAGGTAGAGAGGAAAAGGAGCACTATACAGCACCTGTACCTTCTATGAGCAACTCCTGCCCATGACTGCCCAGCAGAGTCCGTGAAAGGAAGGGGGCGAAATCCACAAAGATCTCCCTCAGCAAAGGCGCCACTTTCTCTAAGGCACGCTCCAATTTAGTTGTGATACTACGGGGGGAAAATGAAAGACAGAAAGATAGAGAAATACTCCAGTTAGCTCCAAAATACAGAGACTAGTTCAAAAATCACACTTCCTTTCAATTCCAGCTGGTTAGTATGTGACAAAGTCTATGGCATTACTGCTGGGTTAAAGCCAACCTACAAGAATTCAACCACAGGGAGGCAAATGCTTAACGATCACCCTATCATATTGCACACATCACCCTTAAGTGCCACTGCGCTTAGCTACAAGCTGAGTTAACCTGCACTAAGACTACAACTTCAGCGCCAGGGATGCAAATGACACCAAACAAGGGCAAATGTGAAAGGTTTCATGAGGAAAAGAAATCAGTGATAAAAGTCTGAGGACATCCAATGTGGTGCAAACAAGGAATGACTTGACATTGAAGAATGACAATGTCTCTACTGAAACGGTAAGCTAGCAGGGTTGATTCTGTTCAGTTCTTGGTAAATATAACTGCTGATTTGGAGTGTACATGCTTTTTGTGGATTATGTGTTTTTGTGTGTTTGTTAGGCATTTTGCAGCATTTCAATTAAAAACAGTAGCTCATGTCACTGATACTAAATCCTAACCAGGTCTGATGCAAAACAAAATTGGAAATGACAGAAAATCAGAGCATATTTGATGTCTATGCTGCATTCACATCACGTTTGCATATTAAGTTGGTGGCTAGTAAAAATCATGAATTTCTTTGTTGAAATTGTCATGTCATGTAAAAACAAAGACAACAGCTTCATCAGTTAAGGGCAGTTAAGTAGCAATCTGCTTGATATAACATTTTATTACATCCATTGTTTTGTGGCGCTCTTTCTTAGGTCAGTTTATATAGGTCAACCAATTTAAGTGTCGGTCTTATTTAGTCTGTGGCTGTGAATGACTCAAAAGTAAAATCTCTTATTGTCATCTTGTAATTACAGTAAATAAATATGATGTGAAGGCAGCATAAAAATACAAATAAGTGGACCAATGAGATTTCACAGCGGGCAGGGCTTCCCAGAATAATGCAATGGAAATAGAAACCAACGAACGGCAAAATGTTTAGCACATCGACTAAAACTATTAAAAAGATGTTTTTGCTAACTAAAATAAATCTGAAATAAAATAAAATGTAAATATTAGATTAAAATCTTAAACTTAAAAAAATATTGAAATATTGCCTTGGCAACTAACTGAAATAAGTTTAAGTTGCAGCACTAAAATTACTAAAACTGAAATAAAAATAAAGTAAAATAGAAATTTAAAAACTAATAAAAATGAAAAAAAAAAGACAAAAACTTAAATTAAAATACAAATAAAATTAATATAAAAAGTGAATAAAAAAATTGTATATAAAAATACTAAAATAGCACAGGCACATTACGACTTGTTTAAAAAAACTTAATTGAAGAAATTAAAATCGAATAGACATGATTTTTATGCTTGAACATTTATCGCGTCATGCCTGGTTTGGACAATGTATATATGTGAAAAAGAGACAGAATCAAATCTAGCAGAACCGTTACAAATCAAAGCAGCAGCGGTGGTGTAGCTGGCCAGCTTGAAAACTCACAACCAGCAGGAAAGAGAGGAAAAAGAAGCAGAAAAAGAGAAAATAGAAAGGCACAGAGAAAGAAGGGAAGGCAATGTTAAGCTGGTAGCAGTGGGTAAGGGGGGCCAGTTCAAGCTTCCTTGCCTAAGAAACTGTCCTGCATCTCTGGGGGCTGTTTGGAATCCTGTCAGCGAACTAAAGGATTTGAGTTCAGGAGGCGTCAGCCTGGTTCGCAGTGGACACTGGTCCACTTCACAAAAGGCACTGCAATACAAATGGGCACAAACAGACAGTAATGACTGTACAGGCATTCACTGCAGCTCTTAGTCTAAAGTGTGACGTAATCCCTGTGTGTTGATCTGTGCCAAATCAAAGGATGATTGAGCCCCAAAGCTTCTGTGTTGTACATGCAAAGAGACAAAAATGAAGAAAATCAATTCTGTTGCATTCAAATTAGAACAGATGTACCCATGTTTGGCAGGAAATACACTTCAGACTATCAGGACCTCAAAGTGCATCTTTAAAAATGCACAGAGACCTCAGTATGTGTCTCTGAGGGAATCTGTAGCTGTGGTGCGCGCTGTGGTTACAAAGATATACAGATCGGGAAGTGTAGAGAGGAGACAGATGTAAAGTGAAGAAACTAATGGATTATGGGAATCATAGGAAGAAGTAAGACTGCCAAAAAAAAAAGAAGATGAGCACAGGATGTGAGAATGCATGATTTAAGTTTTTAAGCATGTGAATAACTGGATAAAGTGAGGAAGAGCACGGGGTGGTGGAGGAAACGATGTGTGTGTGTGTGTATACCTCATGCTTTCCACTGTGTCTTCAGGCATTGGTGCAACGGTCTGCACCGCTGGGAGGTTTTTACTTGTGGCACCGTTCACAAAACTTGATGAAGAGGAGGATGAGGAAGAGGCAGAGTCAGTGGCACCTGTGAGACATAATGGATGAGACACATTAGAATAGATTAAGCACAAGGAATGTTGACTATCCTAAAGAAAAAAAATCCTCAGAATTGTTTATAGTGCAACAAAGCATGCTTAAATGTCTAAAATGGTCACTACGACTAGAAAATTATTATTATAAACTTATGAAAGCCCCTGACAACCCCAAATAGAAAAAAAACAAGATGTCACGAAAATAATCACAGCTTAACCATCCAAATTAAAGTGATATGCAGGAATCAAATGCACATATAGACCAACAAAATGTATATGCTCATCATGGGATTGTAAGATGATGGAAATATTCAGGATGACTTGCCTGTTGTGTTGATCATGCTTTTAGGTGTTGCCGTGGCAGCAGCAAATATATTGGGCGTACTTCCTGAAGAGGGCACACCACTGGTGGTGGGAGTTCCTACTGTGTTCACAGCCAGGCTTCCTGGAGGGGGCTTCTTAACAGGCACCACCACACTCCTGTGAACACACACACACACACACACACACACACACAAATATATTGAATTTATTCAATAATTAATCCCTATACACACAAAATACTTTTTCTTTCTTTTTCTTTTCTTCACATCAAAATACTTTTATATACCCTAAATTAAACACTTATATATACAGTACCATTAAAAAGTTTGGGGTCGGTAATATTTTTAAAATGTTTTTATGAAGAAATCTCTTACTTCTGCAATACATTTAGAATACTTTTTTTTATCCAAAGCGTGTTACAGTAGAGAAGCATAAGCAATTCTTCAAAGTGCCAACAATTTTCAAACTATACAAAGCCTCTTAATAAAAAAAAAATATATATATATATTTTTAAAAATATTAATATTAACAATAAATTAAACGTAAATACACTACTGTTCAAATGTTTGGTGTCACTAAAACATTTCAATTGTTTTCGAAAGAAGCGCTTTATTCTCACCAAGGTTGCATTTATTTGATAATAAATACAGTAAAAATAAAGAAGAATTATTGTGAAATATTATTTCAATTTAAAAGACCAGTTTCTGTTTGAGTATATAAAATATTCACCTGTCCTACTGAATTATTAACATTCAAGAAGCCTGTGAATGATTAACAGCATAATCTTATGTATAATTTATTCATCAGGTTTTCTTAATTGAGAAGAACAAAGAGGATTGATGTTCAGAGGGGCTTTAGTTTGTATTGTAGAGTATCAGTGGATCCCACACGCTAAGCCAGTCAGTCTCTTGAGCCCTGAGCACACTATTGCACAGAGCTAGTGGCATTTTTGCATTTTTGAGGAGCTAGACAGAGACGGCATTAAAAACAGAGAAGGCCTTGTGCTTGCGTATGTGTAATTAAGGTGTTCTTGACTTGGCATTTGTTCTCAAAAAGTCTTGACATACCACATGTAAGTGTAACCGCATTGATTCATGAATGATTTATTGATTCAATCGTTGTGTTCCAAAATGTAGTAGGCAGCATTTTAAGACAACAAAAGCGCACGCCTGAAGCAAAAGCTATTCCAAAAGGCAGGCAGCATTAGATATTTCATTTTGCTCAACTTAACTTTATATAATTAATTAAAAAATTATATGTATAATTAAATTATATTACATTATATCAGATTTTTTTTTATTTTTAAAATGAAATTGAAATTACATTGACATCGACTGGTTTTTACAGATGATATCATTGTTTATTAACCTCAGTGCATTGTGGGTCTGTACTAAAAGGTTTATATTATTAAATGTTAACCTAAGTGAAATTACGTCTATATTTTAAGTATAAAATATTAAATTATAATATTATAAATTATTATATCGTATATTTAAGCTTGATGTGTTCAGCTCTCTGGGTCTTGGGTTTAATGCTTTTAATTATTTGAATAATTATTTGAATAATATTGTCTGTTAATAAGGTTGGTCTGAAAGATAACAGCACATATCCATGACAGAAAAGCATAATGTATCTTGGCTTATTTTGATGTGCTAGACACTTCACGCTAGAGCTGCCCACCTGTCAAACGAGTGGAACTGCATGGGCAGCATAGCAGCAGCTTCCCTCTTCAGGGCAGGGTCAGGGTGGTACGGCTGGGGCTCAGGCCCTGCCTCTGCCCCCTCCACCGGTGCTGCCACTAAACTCTTCAGGATCTCCTTCACATTGATTCCCTTGTTGGCCTGGCTGATGCTGGAGATCGACGCGGCCGGTTTCAGAACCTCCACGCCAGGAGGCGACTCCAGCAGGGACTCGCGGGACTTCCTCACCTCTGACGACAGTGTGCACAGCAACTCGCTCATGGCATCCGGGCCTCCAGAGCTCCCACTCAATCCGCTGTAGTCTGCGCCCAGTTCGGAGCCATTGAGAGCACTGGTGACTTGCTCCTCCCCGATGCCGGAGTCAGTGTGAGGCAGCGAGCCTTCCAGGGGAAGATCGTCCAGAGGGGTGGCGGCCTGTCGCTCTCCACGTACACCATCTGTGAAGGAGGATGGGTTTTCTGCAATTTGCACACACATACACTAGTGGTCAAAAGTTTGAATTAAGACTTTTTAATGTTTTTAAAAGAAGTCTCTTATGCTCACCAAGACTGCATTTATTTGACCAAAAATACAGTAAAACCAGTAATATTGTAAAATATTATTACACCTTAAAAGAATTGTTTTCTGATTTGATATATTTCAAAATGTAATTTATTCCTGTGATGACAAAGTTGAATTTTCAGCAGCCATTACACCAATCTGCATTGTCACATGATCCCTCAGAAATCTTTCTAACATGCTGATTTGTTATCAGTTATTGTTGGTGTTCAATTATTAATATTATTATTTATTATAATCATTATCAATGTTTTTGCTGCTTAATATTTTTGTGGAAACCGTGGTATATTTTTTTCAGGATTCTCTGATGAATAGAAAGTTCAAAAGAACAGAATTTATGTGAAATAGAAATTTTTTGTAACATTATAAATGTGTTTATAAGTCCTTGCTGAATAAAAGTATTATTTTTTTCGTTTAATCTCTTAAAGGGTAGTATATTGAGGTTTCCACAAAATATTAAATGTTTTTCACATTTATGTTAAATGTTTCTTAAGCACCAAATCAGCAAATGTGATCCTGGACCACAAAACCAGTCATAAGGGTCAATTTTTCGAAATTGAGATTTATACAGTATATCATCTGAATAAATAAGCTTTCCATTGATGTATTTGTTAGGATAGGACAATATTTGGCTGAGATACAACTATTTGAAAATCTGGAATCTGAGGGTGCAAAAAAATCTAAATATTGAGAAAATCGCCTTTAAAGTTGTCCATATGAAGTTCTTAGCAATGCATATTACTAATCAAAAATTAAGTTTCTATATATTTACAGTAGGAAATTTACAAAATATTTTCATGGAACATGATCTTTACTTAATATCCTAATGATTTTTGGCATAAAAGAAAAATCAATAATTTTGACCCATACAATGTATTTTTGGCTATTGCTACAAATATACCCCAGCGACTTAAGACTGCTTTTGTGGTCCAGGGTCACATATTAGAATGATTTCTGAAAGATCATGTGACACTGAAGACTGGAGTAATGGCTGCTGAAAAGTCAGCTTTGTCATCACAGGAATAAATTTCACTTTAAAATATATTAAAATAGAAAACAGTTATTTTAAATTATAATAATTTTCCACGATATTACTATTTTAACTTTATTTAACAAATAGATGCAACCTTGGTGAGAATAAGAGTCAGAGATAAGAGCAGAGATTCAGTCATTACAGAAGCATTTCAGAGCTGCTTCCGTAAAAGATACAGTATGTGCAGCTCACTGCAGCCTATGCCAAGCAGTTCTTTTCCATCCGAGTATTAATTCAATATTGCACTCAGATAAAGCTTTGCAATAATGCCTTGCACACTTAAGTTGATGAAATCCTCCCTCTGGGGAGTAACTGGATGACTATATAGCAGAGATAATCAGAGACAATTAAGAAATGTCTGAGTGGAAGATGTCTGACTGTATTTAAACACTTATTAGCATTTGTTGGGTGTTTAAGTGGTAAACGACTAAAGACACACGTCTATTGAGTGCAATCAAAGTCTCACAAGATAATGACACTGCAGATGCTATGTTCACCTGTGCTGGTGGGTGAATTAATCTCTTGTCGGATGCTTCTCCCCGATAGGCTGCTGGACCTGCCGATCTCCCGTTGTGGTTCCAGGATGTCCCGGTATTTAGACACCATAAGGACAGAGATAAAGTAGACCACAGCCAGAGCCAGGAACTGAGCCTGTTTACTGTCATCCTATTGAACACGCAGTATGGTTAACAATCATACTGTTCATGTTAACATACATGTTTTGTTTCAGCTCAGCTAAGTGAGTGTCTCACCACGTCTCTGAAAACGACAGCTCGGAGACGATTGATGTCCACGTCCTGCAGCAGTCTGTCTGGGTCTTTGATGGGAGAAAGGTTACGCGGGACATTCTGTGGCAGAGAGGATGAGAGAATCATACACACACACACACACAGGTTTTATTATGTACATAATTGCATACTAGAAGTTTTTATAGCAAAAATGCATTGCTTTTTGTTCGGTTTCTGATGTGCATTTGATGTGTTTTCTGAATTTTGTGTATAGATGCATTTTGCATGCGCAAATGTGTTTGTTCTCTTGTATTTGTGCAGGTGTGTGAGTGTATAACCTTGCTGGCGGACGCTGCAGTCTGTAGGTTCTCCTGGGTCTTGCTGATTGGCAGTGAGGTTTTGCTGCCTCTGTCTCTCTGCCTCTGCCTGCATTCCAGACAGTTCCTCACTGCTACACAACACACTGAGAGGAGACAAACAGTTTTACTAGAACGTCTGCCTTGATATTCACAGCACACCACACAGACATATAACTACACTACCGTTCAAACGTTTTGGGTCAGTACGGTTTTTAAAATTTTTTTTGAAAGACATCTCTTCTGCTCACCGAAGCTGCATTTATTTGATGAAAATACAGTAAAAACAGCAATATTGTGAAAAATTATTATAATTTTTTAAAATTATTTAAAATAACTTTTTTATATCATTTTAAAATGTATTCCTGTGATGGCAAAGCTGAATTTTCAGCAGCCATTACTCCTGTTTTCAGTGTCACGTGATCCTTCAGAAATCATTTTAATATGCTGATTTGGTGAAAACAGTTGTACTACTAAAAATTTTTCTGGAAACCATGATAGATTTTTTCATGATTCTTTTATGAATAGAAAGAATCAAAAGAACAACAATTATTTGAATTTTTTTGAAACAATGCAAAGGTCTTTCCTGTCGCTTTTGATAAATTTAATGCATCATTGCTGCATAAAAATATTAATAAAAAAATAACTTTTGAACGGTAATGAACATACTGAGCTGCACATCATGGCTTTTGCCTTATGGTTTGAAAGCACTTTAAAGGTGAAGTGTGTTCTTTATTAATGCCTAAATACTTTCTCCTATCCCATCTTAATGGAGAGGAAAAAATAAGTGAACCATTCGATCATTGTAAACATTGCAGGTCTGTTTGTTTGATGGCTTCATACATCACATTTTTTTAAACTACTACTTGTAGCAGCATTCATTCAATTTTGTTGCCACAGAAATTATATTCAGTACTTCACCCTTAAGGTACAAAAACCTTACACTGAAACTACTTTATACAGTCAAGGCATTCAGTACATAAAAAAATTTACTATTTGAAATAGTTACATGGGTAAAATTCATCACACATACCTAATCGTAGACACTGGCGCATTAGTCCCCCAGACGACATGTTCTTTTCAGCCTCAATCTCGCTGAAATTGAGAGAACTGGCGAACACGAGCACATCCACCATGGCCATCAGCCGGCTCAGAAATGTGACTGCCGTTTCTGACGACATGCCCTGGGTCGCCTCCACATTCTCAAGCTCCGTCTGGGTCACACACACATACACATAACCGAAGTCCAGAAGTTTAGAAATATATCCTAATAGATTTTAAAGCAAAAAACCCACACACAAACTAAAACACAGAGTAATGCTCACACCTACACAGTATTATACTGCTGACAAGGTGCTGACAAACAAACAAATGTGTGATAGCAGCAAATCAATAATGCCAGGCCAACTTCACATGAAACATGCCTCTCGAAGACATTTAGTTGGGGAGGAAGGTGCTTGGAAAACCTCACACCACTAGAAGGAAGTTCAAACCAGTGTGACACCCATTTGAGTGTGAACGGGTAGTGCTGCAGTGCCGTGTGTGCTTAATCTTTGCAGTGGTCAGGGAACACATCACCATTTTGCAACATCAATATCAAAAGTTCAACATAATTACATGGTGTATTACAAAGGACAAAAGTTTTTGTAAAGCAAAAAGTTGACAAGAACATACCCACTGTGATTTTAAAAAGTCGTGGAGCCTTTCAAGCAGAGGCAAATATGCTTTTAAATTCTATAAAAAGCCTCTTGTGAAAAATACGGGGTGATGGAGATTAACTGCTATCTTAAAACCCACAGCTGAGTACTGAAAATAAAAAAATTGATGTTGAAAACTGGGAACATGCTTGTTGCTAGGAGACATAATAGTGGCGAATAAGAGGCCACACAGTAGTGCATTGTGGGTATGTATAGGGGCGATAGCTTGGACCCACCTCTGCCCCTGTGCCAGAGCTTCCTGGCAGGCTATTAACTTCATTGCTTTTTGTCCCTTTCTGTAAGCAAGAACCTCCTTGTGTCTTTATGACCAACACAGAGGGGAACAAATGAAGCTGACATTTAATAAAGACCCTTATAAACGGACAAATAGAGCCGGGGGGCTCATCACAGCACCATGGTGCGTGCTAATTCATGTAATGCAATTTACTATCAGTATCTGTATGAAGGTTTTCAGTGAATAACAGACGATTATGATGAAGAAGGTCTGATAAGATACTTTATCAGATATGACCACTTTAACTGATCATATTAAAGAATAATGCTAATAAGTTTGCATTTTAATACAACCATAATCTCATATTTAAAGGTGCACTCAGTTTATTTTACTAATTAAAAGAGTTCTACACATGAAGAAAAAAATAGTACTTCTGAAAATATATTTAAAATCATTATCACTCACTATTTACATGGAGAAGGGGCCACCTTTATGAAATCATAGGATCAGCCAGATACTACTTACTGGACACTTTTACATAGATAATAAATTAATTGTGGCTGACCGCAAATCTAAATTTTTTATATGAACCTGAAAACTTATGCATGATGCTGCAATTATCATACCTCTATACCCAGCCCAAGACGACTGGAATATTGGTCAGCTTAACATAAACATGAATTACTGAGTGCAACTCTGAGTGCAATACATATTTCATAAATGTTTTATGATTAAATCGAATGAATGCAGACATAGTCTGAGGCTGAAAAAGACAGAAAAGATGGAAATGATCTGAAATGGATCATACATTCTGAACTGTGGCATTAGTGATATTAAAATGTAACATTAAAAAATAAACAAGACTGTGAATGTTAGAGAAGAATAAATAAATTGGAACTTACAGGGTTTGCACTAACCTTAGAACTCTGTACATGCAAAAGAAACAAAAAAGACAAAAAAAAGAGAGAGAGAGAGAATTAGAGGGAAGGGGAAAAAGGAATTAGAGGCAATACAGACAACAAAAGGATACAAAAGCACAAAATAAATGCTTAATAAACAATAGAGTCAGTCAGAGAACATTTCAGAAAAAGCTGTAAGAATTTTTGCCCGAAATAAAGTTATAAATAAAATAAAAAAGGTTAGATTGCAGGAAAAATGTCAAAGAACGCAGGACAAGGAAGCGGCAAAATTAGGGATTGTGTTCATATTTAAGAACTCAGGGTAAAAGATCCAAAAGAGGATGAAATTTGACATCAGCAGCACTCAATGTTTCTATGTGTAGGCAAAAATACTGATCTGGAGTTAGCACTCTTTCTCTTGAACTCAGTATAAGATGAGACACGTATTGTTTCAGAGGATACAAAAGCACAAAATAAATGCTTAATAAACAATAGAGTCAGTCAGAGAACATTTCAGAAAAAGCTGTAAGAATTTTTGCCCGAAATAAAGTTATAAATAAAATAAAAAAGGTTAGATTGCAGGAAAAATGTCAAAGAACGCAGGACAAGAAAGCGGCAAAATTAGGGATTGTTCATATTTAAGAACTCAGGGTAAAAGATCCAAAAGAGGATGAAATTTGACATCAGCAGCACTCAATGTTTCTATGTGTAGGCAAAAATACTGATCTGGAGTTAGCACTCTTTCTCTTGAACTCAGTATAAGATGAGACACGTATTGTTTCAGCAACCATTCAGCGACAATATAACATTCAGTGATATTCAGGGAATAGAAACAGGAGCAACTTTTTTTCTTCTAGAAGATTCTAAATGATCCAATTACAGCCCTTCCAAACAAAAAAGAAAAATCAGCCACTAAAAAAGAGGTTTTATAATTCAAGGATGTTGTACTGATGTGAATATCCACTAGGGGCCGCTCAAGTGCCACTTACAGATGGGGAGGTGGCAGCAGAGAGCAGGGGAAGGATCCCGCCACACGCTATAATGATGTTATCAACCATCTGAGAAATTAGGTGGATGGTGTTGTGGACAAATATAATGTTCTCGTTACTGTTTACGAAGTCCATGACCGATTTCGTAGAGTGACTGAGAGAAAAAGAGAACAAAAGAAGACAGTAGTGAAGCAAGACCATGTAAAAGCATATAACATGTTAATCTTTTCAGAGTTTTACTGTCAAATGACACAAAAGAGGTTACAGAGAACTAGATTATAAATAACATCCTTGCTGTTAGTCTTAGAACAACCAATCAGATTTTACAGACAGGGCAAGGAGTAGGGTTAGGGTTAGGGGTTTCAGAAAAGTTGTTCCAGAACAACACAAGCTGTTCATCCAGGAAAATGTCTTAGCTGGTAATTTCTGAAGGCCAAAAACTCTCATACCTCCTCCACATGTGTACGTCACTTTCCAGGGCAAACAACAGGTCAGTGAGAAGGCGTTGATGCATGGGTGACCATTTGAATTCTGGGATACGGAACATGGTAGTTCGAGGGCCAGGGCTGAACTGCCGGCGCTGTTCTTCTGTCATCGGCATGCCCCTGAAGCCCAGATCCACACGGAGGTCCCTCTCCATCTGACCCGACATACGACCATGAAGAGCCTACAGGAAAGCAGCAATTCAATCATTCATCCAAGCCATTGGCTTTGTTTGCTTGTTAGTTCATTACGGCATTCATTTGTCTACTTAATTTTTCTGGTTCTAAACCAGATTGAGACGCAACTTATTTAAAGGGTTAGTTTACCCATATAACAGTCTATCCTTGGTGGAATACAAAAGGAGATGAATTAAAAGGGTCAGATGATGCGATTTACAAGCTGTTCGTGAATAGATAAGATTCCTAAAGTTGCAAAGACTAAAGTCTCAAACCCAAAGAGATATTCTTTATAAAAGTTAAGACTCATCCACGCCCTCCTAAAACGCCTCGTTTAAACACGCCCCTACATGTCTACGTCACTGTGTGGGAAGATTTGCATAAC